CCACACACAGAAAAATAAGATAAATAGGAAAAAGCGAGAGCGAGGAAGCCACAAAAAACATAAACTCACGCATAACTAAAACAGAAAAACAGCAAAAAACCCAGAGTGTGTTAGAGAGTGTTGGCAGGGATACAGACTGTGTCAGAAAATTTTAGGCACATATATAGTGTGTCAGAAAGGCTCAAAAAAGTACAAAGTGTATCAAGAAATGTTCATACAGAAGTACAAAGTGCGTCAGAGAGACTCATACAGAAGTATAAAGTGCGTCAGAGAGGCTCATACAGAAGTACAAAGTGCGTCAGAGAGACTCATACAGAAGTACAAAGTGCGTCAGAGAGACTCATACAGAAGTATAAAGTGCGTCAGAGAGACTCATACAGAAGTACAAAGTGCGTCAGAGAGGCTCATACAGAAGTACAAAGTGCGTCAGAGAGGCTCATACAGAAGTACAGAATGCGTCAGAGAGACTCATACAGAAGTACAGAGTGCGTCAGAGAGACTCATACAGAAGTACAGAGTGCGTCAGAGAGGCTCGTACAGAAGTACAGAATGCGTCAGAGAGACTCAAACAGAAGTACAGAGTGCGTCAGAGAGACTCATACAGAAGTACAAAGTGCGTCAGAGAGGCTCATACAGAAGTACAAAGTGCGTCAGAGAGACTCATACAGAAGTGCGTCAGAGAGGCTCAACAGAAGTACAAAGTGCGTCAGAGAGGCTCATACAGAAGTACAGAGTGCGTCAGTCATACAGAAGTACAAAGTGCGTCAGAGAGACTCATACAGAAGTACAGAGTGCGTCAGAGAGGCTCATACAGAAGTACAGAAGTGCGTCAGAGAGACTCATACAGAAGTACAGAGTGCGTCAGAGAGGCTCATACAGAAGTACAGAGTGCGTCAGAGAGACTCATACAGAAGTGCGTCAGAGAGGCTCATACAGAAGTACAGAAGAGAGACTCATACAGAAGTACAGAGTGCGTCAGAGAGGCTCATACAGAAGTACAAAGTGCGTCAGAGAGGCTCATACAGAAGTACAGAGTGCGTCAGAGAGACTCATACAGAAGTACAGAGTGCGTCAGAGAGGCTCATACAGAAGTACAAAGTGCGTCAGAGAGACTCATACAGAAGTACAGAGTGCGTCAGAGAGGCTCATACAGAAGTACAAAGTGCGTCAGAGAGGCTCATACAGCAGAGTCGTCAGAGAGGCTCATACAGAAGTACAGAAGAGAGACTGAAGTACAAAGTGCGTCAGAGAGACTCATACAGAAGTACAGAGTGCGTCAGAGAGGCTCATACAGAAGTACAGAGTGCGTCAGAGAGACTCATACAGAAGTACAGAGTGCGTCAGAGAGACTATACAGAAGTACAGTGCGTCAAGAGACTCATACAGAAGTACAGAGTCAGAGAGGGCTCATACAGAAGTACAGAGTGCGTCAGAGAAGAGACTCACAGAAGTACAGAGTGCGTCAGAGAGGCTCATACAGAAGTACAGAGTGCGTCAGAGAGGCTCATACAGAAGTACAGAATGCGTCAGAGAGACTCATACAGAAGTACAGAGTGCGTCAGAGAGGCTCATACAGAAGTACAGAATGCGTCAGAGAGGCTCATACAGAAGTACAGAATGCGTCAGAGAGACTCATACAGAAGTACAGAGTGCGTCAGAGAGGCTCATACAGAAGTACAGAGTGCGTCAGAGAGGCTCATACAGAAGTACAGAATGCGTCAGAGAGGCTCATACAGAAGTACAGAATGCGTCAGAGAGGCTCATACAGAAGTACAGAATGCGTCAGAGAGGTCATACAGAAGTACAGAATGCGTCAGAGAGACTCATACAGACTCATACAGAAGTACAGAATGCGTCAGAGAGGCTCATACAGAAGTACAGAATGCGTCAGAGAGGCTCATACAGAAGTACAGAATGCGTCAGAGAGGCTCATACAGAAGTACAGAATGCGTCAGAGAGACTCATACAGAAGTACAGAGTGCGTCAGAGAGGCTCATACAGAAGTACAGAATGCGTCAGAGAGACTCATACAGAAGTACAGAGTGCGTCAGAGAGGCTCATACAGAAGTACAGAATGCGTCAGAGAGGCTCATACAGAAGTACAGAATGCGTCAGAGAGGCTCATACAGAAGTACAGAGTGCGTCAGAGAGACTCATACAGAAGTACAGAATGCGTCAGAGAGACTCATACAGAAGTACAGAGTGCGTCAGAGAGGCTCATACAGAAGTACAGAATGCGTCAGAGAGGCTCATACAGAAGTACAGAATGCGTCAGAGAGGCTCATACAGAAGTACAGAGTGCGTCAGAGAGGCTCATACAGAAGTACAGAGTGCGTCAGAGAGACTCATACAGAAGTACAGAGTGCGTCAGAGAGACTCATACAGAAGTACAGAGTGCGTCAGAGAGACTCATACAGAAATCCTTAAAATATAAACTGTTAATATATAAAACTTTCTACGCTACAGACATTTTTATTAAATTTAATGTGAATATTGAGGG